AAATCAACCCTGTATTTCACCTCACAACAGTCTTTTTTTTTTTCCTGATATAAAGGAGAAGGCAGGAGTGAGGACAGCGGGAAGGGGTATGAGCAATGAGTGATCCATGAGGGGGGAGGGTCAGAGAGAGAGAGAAAGGGGGTACCCAGGAAGGAGAACATGGTGGTAGAGGGAAGCTGGAACACAGACAGGGCCACAGCAGTCTTAAAGAATGGGCAATAGTGTTGTTTCAGTTATGGCAGGTGACATTGGGACATAAGGAGGTGAAATCCCTTGGCCAAAGTCGTGCAATGATCAGGTTGTAGACCTGGGATCCTAATGTCCTCTGCATTACTCAGATCCCACTGCTTTGAAAGGGCTTGTGCCTGTGATGTATTTGTGAATACTTCTGTTTGTTGACTACTTGTGCCGTTTATCCAGTAGCCAGCATGTACCAGACACCACTAAAAACTTATTTCCATCTCCGACACTGGACACGCAGTACCCATCCCATTTCAGCAATGAGGAAACAGCCCCAAGTGTGGCCAGAGCCAGCCCTGTCAGTGGTTAAGGACTAGAAGGAAGAAAGAGATTCAGTTGTGGGGTGACAGTCTCTACAGCCCATGCCCTTCATCTGTCCCAAGCAGTCTTCGCCTTCACCTGTACGCCTGGGCTTTGTCCACTTGTTTCGAGTATTCAGTCGTGTCCTGATGTTTTTCTTCTTGCGTATGTGTGCAAGGATGGGGGGAAGAGCTCTCCCATACATACTCCCTGACATCTTTTATGAGGCTATTTGTATTGAGGACTTAGAAACCTGTGGTCTCACTGTCTGCAGAGGTAGTTTTTCGAGGCCTCTTTTAGCTGTTGTTCTGTTGAAGAATAAGAACTCAACAAAACAAATTCGTTGGTGATGTGAATCCTACTCTCTTGTTCTAGATGCTCAGGCCCACGCGGCAGAACATGAGTGGAACGCAGGCTAGCTCAGGAAGGAGGGGCAAAGCCTTGAAAGGACGGTGTGAAGCCATCCACGTGGGAGAGAAAGGATGAACGCTTAGATTTTCCATGCCTTCCCCCTCCACAGGGCTTAAGTTTTCCTTAAAAAAATAAACTCAGATGCCATGTTTACTTATTTTCCTGGCAATCTGTGTTGTCAGGACAACAAGATCTGTTTGCCTAGAATAGGATTTTCTGGCGTTCTTGGAGGGGGAGATGGAAATGGAAAGCTAACTCTTGTTTTTGTATCTCTAAGAAGAAAATGATTTCTTTGTGTGGGATGGCTCCTAGCACGAAAGGAGCTGAATGGCAATGACAGGCAATTATAGTGTTCTGCACTTTGTTCTAATTTGCTTTAATAAGACAGGCACATAAACTGATGGGATTTTTAGCACTGTGCTAAGTATATTGGTAGTTAGCATCAGTGAGCACTTGGGTGCAAGGCACTGAGCTAATATTTTCACACACATTATTGTGTAGAAACCCCAGGCCAAGTCTGTGTGCTCTGCACTATTACCTCTGTCTGACAGCTGATGAATTCAAACTGGGAGGGATCAAGTCCATGGGCCAAGCTTACAGACCTGGTAATTGGTGGATAAAAGACTTGAATAAAGTCCATCTCATCCCAGAGTCACTGCCTTTCCACCTCTGTGCTGAGTTACACAAACACTAAAGTCAAAACCGGTGAGCGGTGCTCAAGGCGTATAGCTCAGCGGTGGAATGTTTACTTAGCATGGACAAGACCATTGGTTTGATTCCCCAGCACCACAAAACAAACAACTCGAGTGAAGAAGGAAAGAATAAAGACAACAGGGTTGGCTGAGCATCAAATAAAGTGAGAGCCCATAGAGGTCAGAAGAGGGAGTCAGATTTCCTGGAGCTGGGGCTACGGGGGGTTGAGTCATCTTGTGGGTATTGGGAATTGAACCCAAGTCCTCTGCAAGAGCAATGAGTACTCTTAACTGCCAAGCCATCTTTCCAGCCCCTGTATGCGTGTCTTTAAACTTTCTTTAGTACTTAAATTTACACTGAGTTTTTGTCAGTGTTTCTAGTGTTATAATAAAACATACATTAAAAACATTAAAATACATTAAAAAAATTAAAAACATGGGCAATTTAGTAAAACATGACATAGTCATAGAGAGTTGTATATTTTAACAAATAATGGGAATGAACACTGGGGTCTATTTTGGTTACCTTAAGAAAGCAAGGTTGTCCAAATGTTTTTTTTTTTTTTCCTTTGCCCACAGGCTATCTATCTATCTATCTATCTATCTATCTATCTATCTATCTATTTACTTTTATGGCCTGAACCAATGAGTTTATGGGACTTACTTAGAGCAGCATGGGTGACAGCTTCCTTGCTTCAAAGTGCCCCCTTCTTATGGATGATGGCTCGGGGAAACTGCTTCATGGAGTGCCTGCTATTTGGCAACACACAGGAAAACTGTCTGGAAATCACCCTTTGACGTTTATAATAAAGTTTTATTAGGGCACTGCCACATCCATTGATTTATTATTGTCTGTGGCTGCTAAATGGCAGGATTGAACCATCATGGTTGAAAGCAGGGGGTAGAGCCTGAAATGTTGACCTTATGGTCTTTTAAAGAAAAAGTTTGCCAATACTTGCGTTATCATTAATGACCCCAAAGCGACCCCTACCCCACTAGCCCTAATATCTATTTGGGATGAGGGGGCCATACAACACAGAAAAATACAATATCATGTGGCCACTACTCAGCATTGACTGTTGTTAACACTTTGCAGCTTGCTTCACAACCATTTATAGAGGAAAAGAGTATTACAACATCTTCCTACACTCCCTGTCCCCTTCTCTGCCCTCAGTTCCCTCCCTCCTTCCTTCCTTCCTTCCCTCCTTCCTTCCTTCCTTCCTTCCTTCCTTCCTTCCTTCCTTCCTTCC